AGGTTGGTGAATTCCCCGACTCACTTAAGGTTGCCTTGGTGGTCCCCATACATAAAGGTGGCTCCTTCAAGGACCCAGCCAACTTTAGACCCATTTCACTTTTAAATACCCTGTCAAAAATAGTGGAGAAGGTGGTGAAGAATAGACTGACTGTGTTTTTATCACGTAACAATATAATTAGCGATTGTCAATTTGGATTTCAGTCATCTAAAAGTACTAGTGATGCTGTATTCTGTTTCCTGGAGCAATTGTATTTGAAACTGAACGATAGAGAGGTTGCAGCTGCGGTTTTCTGCGATCTCTCTAAAGCGTTCGATTGCGTTAGACATGACATACTCTTGAATAAAATGTATATTTATGGAATTCGGACACTTCATTGAAATTCTTTACCTCATATTTATCAAAAAGGACCCAAATGGTTAATAACAGGAGTTCCATATCATCAGCCTTAGCAATTGACACAGGAGTTCCACAAGGTTCTGTCCTGGGACCTATTTTGTTTTTGATGTATGTTAATGACCTTTTTGAATTACCACTTGAGTGTATGTTCACTGGTTTTGCTGACGATATTACGCCCCTTTGGCACCATAAGGACCCACTGCTCTTGAAAGAGATTGTTTCTAATGACCTCCATCAAATAAAAGCATGGTGTGATTCAAATTTTCTAAGTTTTAATATTGAAAAAACCAAAGTTCTCAGTTTTAAATTTACATTTGATAATCTTCAACTTGGAAATCAGTCAATCGGTCTCAGTCAGGATACTAAATTTCTTGGAATTAATATTGACTGCAATTTAAAATTTTTCCAGCATATAATCAACTTAAATAAAAAAATTGCAGCGGGAGGCTATGCTGTACGCCAAACGTGCTATGAATTGGGTCAGTCTATGGCTAAGGCCACTTATTTTGCTCTTGTTGAGTCCCACTTGCGCTATGGAATTGCTTTTTGGGGGAACTGCAGTAAGTGTTTGTTTCAATCAGTGTTTACTCTTCAGAAACGTTCTGTTAGGTATATTTTTGGAGCAGGTCTCAGAGATCACTGCCGAGAATTATTTAGGAGGGGGGGAATGTTAACCTTAGTGGATCTCTTTATCTTAGAGACTGTCTGTTTAGTTCACAAGAGGTACCAGGGTACTACACATGCGCACTCCTATCCAACAAGGAACTACAACCTGATACCTTTGCCTATACCAAGGTTCTCTCTAACTCAGGATTCTCTGATTTATAAAAGTATACAAATGTACAATAAACTACCATTAAATTTAAGAACGGATCAAAATTATAAATCTTTTAGAAATAAGGTTAAAAGTTTATTGGCAGATAAAACATTTTATTCTCTTGACGAGTATTTTGATGACAACCTTTAACAGGATCTTGTGTCTGTATCGTGATGTAAGTGTCTAAAACTCAACTTTATGTTTTATGTTTTATACTACTTGTAGGACAGGGTCTACCTGATTTAGTAATAGATTCACAATGCCATAATAACTGATGTGTTCTAAATTTTAAAAATGTTACAAATTTACTAATAAGTACTGAATTTTTCTTTTATTGTTAGTCATTTTACCACTTGCTAGTGCCACTGCTGTAGTGTCTTTTTTACTTGTTATCTGTTCTTATATTTTATATTATTAGGGATGTTGCTTTGTCAATAGAATGTACTATAATTTTCTGACAATAAAGCATATTTGAAATTTGAAATTTGAAATTTTAGATTTAGTTAGGTTTAAGTTTAGTTATGTTAAATTTAATGTATTATATTGAAATTTAGTTGTAAAATGGGCTACCCGTTGATAAATAAAATAAAATAAAATAAAAATAATAGCCCAAAGTTCGTCCCAAAAATCTTTCAATATCGTTTACAATAATCAAATGAAATAATTAGTTTTTGTTAGTTGTTTCTGAATACATCGTAATGCGCGTTTTTGAAGTTTTTAACACACTAGCCATTAGGTCATTTGTGCAGGATCCATAAAATGCAACTCCGTATCTCAAATGGGACTCTATCAAAGAATAGTAGGCTGTCATTGTTGAAGAAAGTTTAAGTTCTCTAGCCACAACTCTCAAGGCACTACTAGCTAATTTCTTCTTTAGATATAGTATGTGTTCTTCAAATTTTAGTCGATTATCAACATATATGCGTAGGATGTATTTTTTCCCCAAGATGGATTTTGACATTGAAACAATACCGCTTGGCCCGGATTGGTCGCAAAATGAGTGACCCTGCAGCCTGCAGATTGGCATCAGTTTTACAATGCATGTCGTGCAAATGGCATCTTGCGACCAATAAGCGGCATTGTTAATGTTTTAAAGTTGACAATGTCAAAATCTATCTTGGGAATACAGTATAGAAATTTAGTGTAAGCTCTGTTTTCAATATGATTAGTTTCTAACATTGGTTTCTCGATTTTGATGTGAGAATGTCATTATTCCCGCACGCAAAATCATTGGGTGGTATGAATAAAAACGAAGTACTTGCTACTACTATAGTCTGGCTAGCGAAACGGCGAACTCCAATAGAATTTGCTGCTTTGCCAAACTTGACGGAAACTCTAATAAACAAGTTAGTGACATTTTTTTTTTCGCTATATGGTCATAGGTAGTATTTTGAAATAGAAAAAAATCCGTCAACATTGCGAAATGATGGATGTAGAGAGGCGTGATTATTCAGAGGCATGATTCTATTGGTTAGAGTCTGAACGACAGCACGCAGTGGCGTGGTTATTGGCGAAACTAGAGATTTTTTTTCTAATAATTTTATTGGTTTATTTCCCTGGTGTTTTCGGTGCCACTGAACCCAAAGACATGGCTATCATCAGGCGGTGTCAGTTGAGGTGTCATTGAATATTTTTAGGCTACGCCCCTTTTTTCTTCCCCCTTTCGTCTCTACCAAGTTACCACTTGCCAGACTATACAAGTATTAGTATGTTCTACGTAGTATTTACTCCAAAACGAAGTAGATACTACATTTCGAACCTACCGGAAATAAGCAAATGCTTCATTGTGAAGTAAATACTATGTAGTACATACTAATACTTGTAGTAGTTTTAGATTTAGATTTTTGGTTTCACCCTTTCGAGCCCATACTCTACACTGCAGCCTTTATAGGCTTTTTGTATGTCATTCGTATGGGCTCTACTCCTTCTCATTCATACTTGCAGATCAGATGATTGGCGGCAGCGCGGGCGGTCTACCGTCCCGTACTACTGCGGTCACCCATCCAATCTGCAACCCGACAACGCGTTGCTTGGCTTTGAGTAGGGCGTCCTGTCGTCCTTTATCAAAGCGCCAACGTGCCAGTACTTGTAGTAGTAGCAAGTACTTCGTTTTTATTCATACCACCCATTGAAGAATGAAGCTCATTCTGATTTGGAAATGAAGTTAGAGTTTTTTTCGACTAATTTAGATCCGCTTTATCGATTGGAAAAGTCAAAATTCAAAAAATCTGAAAAATAAAACTTTTTTGATTTTCTTAAAATAACAGGAATTTCCCACCTACTTAATTCAGCAGAAATATTCCTATTTATTAGGTGAATCACTGAAGTTGAACAAAAAGTTCGTGTACACATTGGCATTCAAATTTTATAGCTTTGGTTAAAATAGGTCTGTTTCTGCAGAAATCACAAACCAGTAGAGTGAATTTCATTGGTTGAAACTAGGGATGTACCGGATCGGATATTTGGCCGATCCGGCCGGAACGGAAATTCCGGCTGCTAGCCGGACCGGACCGCCGGAATTCCGGCAGGATCGAGCTCTATATGGAAGGATTTCGAAATTCGAATTGCAGCAGCTCACCTGAATAATGTGATTGCATTGCTCTATGTAGTGCCATCTAAAATAAAGCAAACAAGTCAAATGCGAGTGCTTACAGTTTTCTGCAATTTAATAATCATTTGAAAGGGCGCATTCTTTTTTTACTGGCGAACCTACAGATGAGCAGTCTATCCTTTTCTAGTACATAGGAAATCAAGATGACTTGCTCATAATGGAGAATAGCTCGATGGAAAAAAAGAAAGCGCCTAAAGTTTGGTTATGTTTGCTTGCTTCCTTCAAGTAAATTGGGGAATCCCCGAGTCTGTCTGACACTAGTAACACTAGAGTCTGACATCTGACTCAAACGCTCGGGTACGTAAAACGTAAACGATTTCCAGTTCAGTGTAGTTACAGTTGTTTTGTGTTCCTCTGTATCCAACTAAGTTAAAAATGTCAAAAGTCTGGAAGCTTTTTGAAATCCATACCTGAGTTTAATGTTTATGTTTAAAAAAAATATTTTTATGGTTTACAACTTTGATTTTAATAAAGTTCTAAGGATTCTTCTTGCTTTTCGCTTATAAATTTACTATTTAACCTATTTTAAAATTTTCGAAAATTCCGGCCGGATCGCGGTTCCGCGATCCAGCCGGAACGGTAGTTCCGGGCTATAGGCCGAATTAGTGGTACCGCCGGAATTCCGGTACATCCCTAGTGGAAACTAGTTTTCTGACTGTTTTCTTTCAACCAATGAAACTCGCTCTGACTGGTTTGTGATTTCTGCAGAAACAGACCTATCAACTACCAAACTGGAGAGACAAGATTGCTAGAAAAAAATTCCAGCAGATAAGAATCTATTGTTATTGCTATTATCCTTGTGACATAAAACATGTTTTTAGTTAACTTGTTCACTCGAAATAAATTTGTTTGCAATTTGGCGCCCCGGATTGTGACGCCGTAGGCGGTTGCCTGTGCCTAAATCCGGCCCTGAACAGAAAGTCTGCACGCTCACTTACACAACGATATTAAACCCATTAAAAAATTACAACTTTAAACTTGATTAAGATTTTAGCGGAGCTTGATATTATAATAGATAAGAGTCAGATATGATCCCATTAAAACAAAGATTTTCAAATACATTTGATATTTTTTTAAATTAAAGTTGTTATTTTGAAATCAACTTAACTCTCAACTTAATTACTTAATGTATTTTGAACTAAAAGTGGGAATGGTGTAGTATAATATACTTACTTCATGGACGCAGTAGTAACTATTAATAAAGGCCAATCATTTCTGTAGTAATTCATTATGGCTAAGGCTTGAAATGTTTTTCCTAAACCCATATCATCTGCAATAAGACATCTGCCACCTCTCTGAATACCAAAACTAAAATTTCAAACATAAATACTAGTAAAAAGGCCAGGCCTCTTATTCTCTGTCTTTGTCAGTGTTATGGAAATGAAAATATGGGGGACTGACAGAAACTTCGTTCTCAGAACGCTGCTCCCCTGTTTTGAGAATAAGGGCCCAGACTGTTATAATACTTACTGCAAACCTTCTATCTGGAATGGAAGTAAAGTTTGATAAAGTAGCTCATCTATTTTAGTTGGATCTATTTCACATGTGTCTGAAGTTTCTTTTAAACAATTAACAACAAATTTTGGAAGTGGTTCTAAGATAATTTGTTTTCCTAATGTGTTCAATTTTGAAACCACAGTATCAAAGTCTTGTATGGGAAAATTCCAAGTGCGATTTTTGGGATCTAAAAAAATAAGTAGAAAGTATAATTTCCAGTTCTCAATTCAAGTACCTATGCAAGAAAATAAGAACTGAAAAAATGAAGTTATTTTCTGTTTTTTCTGACCGCCATGTCTGATGGTCAGTGATGGAAAAACATATCAATGAATTCCGTGGAAGCTATTTTCAACATTTAAAGTTCGCCTTACGAGTCTAGCACTATGGAAAGAATGAGGATAAAAATTGGGCCACTACTAGTGATGTGAACAAGGGAACGTTCTGATTGTGCTTTCGAGAACATTCGCGAACGTTCGCGCACGAAAAAAAGGTTCGTGCTGAATATTACCTTCGGAGCACAATGAGCACGATAGAGAATATTCAGCACGTTCTCAAGCACGATCCTAACCAATAAAATCACATGACGCCATAAAGTAGAGTAGAGATATATTTATGGAAGCTGTTGAAGCTGAAGATATATCGAATATTGAGCCCGAGAACCAGGAAGCAACATAGCAGCAATAGTTTTTTTTTTTTGGAGGCAAAGGTAGCATTGTACTGGAATATACTTAAACTAAAATCACTATTTTATTTTATTATCAAAAAAAAAAGAATCCTAATGATAATTGTATGTTGAAGTTTCCCAGAAAACCCCAAATTAGAATAATTATTGTTATCAAATATGACACAAGACACAATTCACAAATTATGTGATTAATTATGTATTAAGTAGGTATATTTTCTTAAGAAGTTTGAGAACTTTCAGCACATTTATCAAGAATTTTCAGAATATTCAGAACTTTCACGAGAATGTGGGAATTTCGGGAAATTTGAGAAAAATCAGAATTTATTTAGAAAAATGTTTTGTTTTATTCAGCTTCTGATAAAAAGCATAAATTCTCGGGTCCTGCTCGTTTTTGCTCGTTTATTCTCGTTAATTCTCGATCGTGCTCGGAGAACGTTCTCCTAAAATACTTGCTCGAGCATTTTACATCACTAGCCACTACAGAACTAATTTTGGAATGTTTCAAATAAATTTTGAAATTGTAAGTTCAATTTTGGAATATATGAATTAAAATTTAAAATCGAGGTGCAAAGCACTCCTCTAAAAAATGTACATGTATTGCGGAAATCCTATGATTTCTTGGCAATCATTGCGATTTCCAGGGCTGCCATGATAATTTAAGAGATTTCGAAGATTGCCATGAAAATCCAAATGATTTCCAAGATTGCGGGACTGCAAAATGATTATTGCAGGACTGCGGAAGGGATTGCGAAAAAAATACTTGCGATTGCCACATTGATTTCGAGTGATTTCGGAGGCTGCGACAAGCAATTTAGACACGCCCATATGACCGCATTCACAAGATTTCCGCAACTGCGAACATGATTTTCGCGACTGCGAACATGATTTCCGCGACTCCGAACGTGATTTCTGCGAATGCGAAGAAGAATGCGGGATTTCGGACTATTTTGGCGACTGTCTAACGAAGACTGCAGGTTTTCCTTGTGATTTCGAAGAAATTTAAATAAAATTTACATGTGTTGCGGGGAGTAGGGCAAACCACTCCTCTTAAAAATGTACACGTATTGCGGAAATCCTATGATTTCTTGACAATCATTGCGATTTCCAGGGCTGCCATGAGAATTTAAGGGATTTCGAAGATTGCCATGAAAATCGAAATGATTTCCAAGATTGCTGAAATAATCGCCATAATTTCCAAGATTGCGGGACTGCAAAATGATTATCGCAGGACTGCGGAAGGGATTGCGAAAAAAATACTTGCGATTGCCACATTGATTTCGAGCGATTTCGGAGGCTGCGACGAAAAATGCGGGATTTCGGGCTATTTTGGCGACTGTCTAACGGAGAATGCAGGATTTCCTTGTGATTTCGAAGAAATTTTAATAAAATGTACATGTATTGCGGGGAGTGGTTTGCCCCTCGTTTAAAATATTCAGGGGGATTTACTTAGCTCGTGCATTAGCTTGCAGGTGGACTAGATGCTATTTCTACTATAGTCTATTTCATTGCAGTCGATAGCTCAAATTGAGATTTATAGTGGAATAAAATCACTGCTCTAACTCGCTGTTTTCTGAGGGTGGGTGATTCCGAGGTATAACCAGATGAAACCTATATCATCTTGTAGAGGACACTTTGGGGCATAGGAAATGGGAATGTACAACTTTTTTTAATAGGACTGAACTTTGAAATTGGCCCTTAAACGTGACTGAGCTCGAATTTGAAAAACTATGTTTTTCTAAACATTACCCGCTGTATTAATTTAAGCATACAATCTAAAATTCTGATTTTTTGCACACTTATACTTGAAACATGAGCGCTTCTAATGACAGTTCAGAAATTTCGAAAAAGCCCAAGGTTTTTTTGTTAAAAAGTTAGGAATATAGAATTATCAAAATCGTGCATCTTAAACTTCACCCTGCGGCGAGCAATGTGTATTACTGAAAATTTCTATACATATATATCGAATCAAATGTAGTAAAAACATTGTTTGTTTTAAAAAAAAAAATTAAAGTGCTAACTTTAACGGTTATAGAAATATAAATTTTTATCCAAGAGCCCTGGAGCGCGCTTAGCCCATCGTGAACCACGTCGCGACGGAATTATTCGTGCATTTTCTGACTTTTCCAGTTTTGTGCGTTCGTATGCGAAAAACAGCTAAGTCTGATTTATTATCAAAGTTTGAACCATATTCAACAGTTGCTTCTCTTCGAACTGATTTTAAACAAGGGTGTGACTAAAAAAAGCAACTTAAGCTACTTAAATCAAGAAAAAAAATCTAAGATCTCCCGTGGAAACCGCAGTCTTTCATTCAACATACTATCCGAGAAAATTCTTCATAAAAATAAATTTTGCGGGAACTTGTGACGTCACACCGGCTAACCGCCGAAATCATAGCCTTCTGTTTGTTCAGTGGTTGAACCGTGCCCTATACTTTAAGTGGTTGCAATTTGCTTTAAGTGAGATCGTTGACTTTTGTCTTGGAAAATTTTACACATATTTTAACTGTGCCTCCGAAGCCAGTGTGACGTCACAGCCTAGGCGTTTGTCACTTTGAACCACCCTTATACTCGAAAACGGTTCATCGTAGCAAGATGCGGTTCAAATATTTGTTCTTAGATTTTTTCGCACTGAAACTTCATTTTTGGGTCACACAGTTATGCTTTTCTGTCAACAAGGATGGTGTAACCGTGTAACCCAAAGATTTGATATCGAATCATGATGATACTGATGCACGACTTATTATAATCCACGTCTTATATGAATATCAGATACTTCACCAAAAAAAAGTGTTGGTGAAGTCTGCAGATGCAAATGTTCTGGTATTCAATTCAAGTTCCATTTCGTTTCGCCGTCGTTAAACACGTATAAATGCGCTCACGCTATTGTTAGTGATTTTAAACAGATAAAGTAAAGCAATTTTTTTGTGTTTAGCATCATCCTCAGGAGAAAAATGTGTAGTTATCATTGATACTATGGAAGAAATTATTAGATGCCGATTTGACAGCGTAAGCCATTGATACAATAAATCTGTTTACATTTTTGGCAATATTAATAAATCGAAAGAACAAAAAAACACATGAACTTGGACAGCTTATCAGCAAAGGGATCCCATCTAATTTAAATAATTCTATTTTTTGTGCATTTTCATATGCGATTGTTTGTGTTCATCTTTTTTATGTGATGGATGGCAACGAGAACAACTGTCCCAACTGTAAACTAACAGTTGGCGAAGGCTAATGCTATAAGTGCGATTTATGTATACGAGAAATCCATAAAAACTGTGCAGCCCTATCGGGTTCAGAAATAAAATGTATGCCGCTCCAAAAGAGATTACTGGTTTTACTATGCCATGAATGTAAAGGGATGCTGGCCAGAACACCACTTATGGTTCAGCTATTGGAAGGTATGAAAAATGAATTAAGCAATTTAAGAAAAGAAATAAACGAGTTAAGAAATGAAACAGGTGTTAAAAATAGCATGATAGGAACAATCCAATCGAAAACATTTGCAGAAGCTTTAAAAAGCAGAGATGAAAGAATGAATGCACAAATTAAAGCACAATCCCCATCTTTAATTATTAAACCTAAACAAAAACAAAATTCTGAAAAAACGAAAAATGACTTAAAAGAAAAAATACAACCAAACCTACTGAAAATTGGAATTAAAAACATGAGAGAAACAAAACGGGGGTGTGTTGTTGTCAAGTGCACAGAGAAGAATGGTATTGAAAAGTTAAAACAAGCCGCAGAAAATAGCCTTGGGGGCGGTTATGATATTGAGCTACCCAAATTGAATTCACCCAGAATGAAAATTGTGGGTTACAACGGTGATCTGGATCAAAATGAATTGGAGCATACAATAAGACAGCAAAATGAATGGATAGAAGATGGCGAGGAGTTAACAATAAATTTCATCAAGAAGGTAACATTCAAGGGAACATCAACTATATTTTTTGAATGCTCACCAAAATTATATTGGAAAATGTTGAACCAGAAGAAAGTCTCTATTGGATGGGAAAGATACAGTGTATATGAGAATGTAAGTGTAAGTAGATGTTTCAAATGCCAAGAATATTTTCACAAAAGTGGCAATTGCGAGAATAATGTCACCTGTGAGTACTGTGCTGAACGCCATGATAGTAAAGAATGTACAAAACAAATAAAGAAATGTAAAAACTTCTGTAATGCAAATAGCAAATTTAAATTACAGTATGACACAAATCATGCAGCATCAAACCCAGAATGTCCTTCCACTAAGTACCACATAGACCTAATAAGAAGCAAAACTAATTATGACTTTCCATAATGGCACAATTAGTGCAAGATGAACTTTTAGAAAGCATGCAAGCTGAAACTAATAAAAAAACAATTTTAGTGGATAGTGATGGTTTACGAAAGAAAGTAAAAAGAAATAATATTGTTCTTAATTTATTGCATACTAACATTCGAAGTATGGTAAAAAATATTGATAATTTGATACAGCTCTTGAAAACTTTTGAATTG